TTGTTGAATACAAACTTCATTCTTGAATGAAATTACTTGAAATAAAATTCAGTAATATTCGTAGCTTCCTTTTTCAGGAAGATAGCAAGAAAACTTAGCTTGCTTTCCTCCTTGCCTCTAGTAGCTTTGCAACTCGGCCTACAAGCATAAGCTGTCTACCTGAAATGGAAACAACTAAAACATTAAAGACCTAAATAAATACATGCTCCATACTCACAGACTGGAAGACACTATCATTAACATGGCAATTCTCCCCAAAAGGACCTATAAATTCCACACAATTTCTAGTATCCATAATATTCACTGAGTGGCCAGATTCTTATGACCACCCCATCAGTACTTCGTTGGGCTACCTTTTGCCTTCAATACTGCGGCGATTCTTCTTGGCATTGACTCCACGAGATGTTGAAAGGTGATGTGAGGAATCTGACACCATGCCTGATGAATAGCATTGTCCAGTTCTGTGAGATTTGATGGTTGTGGAACCAGCTGCCTGATGGCTCTTTAAACTTCGTCCCACAAATGCTCAATTGGACTGAGATCTGGTGATTGTGGGGGCCACCTAAGCAAGGTAAAGTCTCCCTCATGTTCTTGAAACCACTCCTGCACAATACGAGCACCGTGGCATGGCGCATTGTCTTGTTGGAAGAAGCCATCTCCATTGGGATCCGCCATCAACATGATAGGATGAACTTGATCAGCAACGATACTTAGGTATATTGTGCTATTCAGACATTGTTCCACACAAATTAAAGGGCCCAAATCATGCCAGGAAAACATGCCCCAAACCATAACACTGCCCCCACCAGCTTGAAGGGTTGTACTCATGCATGTGGGGTGCATGCTTTCATGCTGTTTCCGCCAAATCCTCACTCTGCCATCTGCATGATGCAACTGGAAACGTGATTCATCGGACCACATGACTTTTTTCCAATGCTTGACTGTCCAATCCTTGTGTTCCTATGCGAATTGGAGACGTTTTATCTTGGTAACTGCAGACAGCAAAGGTGTTCGAACAGGCCTTCGGCTTCCATATCCCATACGATGCAGTGTACGGCTAATTTGCCTACAAACGTCAGGTGGTCATAATAATCTGGCCGCTCAGAGTGTGAGTGTGTGTGTGTGTGTGTGTGTGTGTGTGTGTGTGTATCCATCCCACATTCAAAGGCTTTTAAGTCGCACTGTTTACCCATATCTTCAGAAAAAAATCACTTCTACTGTCGTGGTAAACAACCTGCTTCCCTATTTATAATGGTCTGGCCCTCTAGCAACTTCAGCGTGAAATTATAGCTGATTTGCCTACAAACATCAGGTGGTCATAATAATCTGGCCACTCAGTGTATAAGTAACTCCTATAATTTGACAAGAAAAAGGCAAACAACCCAATTAAAAACAGGGCCAAGGACTTGAATAGACACTTCCCCAAAGAAGATTGACAACCAACAAGCACATAAGATATTCAACATCATTAATCATTAGAGAAATGGAAATCAAAACTACAATGGGAGACCATTTCACACTCACCAGGATGATCAGAATCTGAAGAAAAGAAAAGAAATGTTGGCCAGGATGTGGAGAAACTGGAACCTTGAACATCGTTGGAGAAAATGTAAAATGGCTCAGCTGCTGTGGAAAAGTCTAGCAGTTCCTTAAAAATCCTGTATCATAGCCCTGACTGGTTTGGCTCAGTGTATAGAGCGTCGGTCTGCGGACTGAAGGGTCCCAGGTTCGATTCCGGTCAAGGGCATGTACCTTGGTTCCGGGCACATCCCCAGTGCGGGGTGTGTAGGAGGCAGCTGATCGATGTTTCTCTCTCATCGATGTTTCTAACTCTCTATTCCTCTCCCTTCCTCTCTGTAAAAAATCAATAAAATATATTTTTTAAAAAAATCCTGTATCATAAAAGCCTAATATGCAAATCAACCGAACAGCTGAAAGACCAGTGGGACGGCTGGTTGCTATGACACACACTGACCACCAGAGGGCAGGTGCTCAATGCAGGAGCTACCCCCAGCCCACAGGCCCCAACCAGCAGCAGGGGGCAGGGCTGGCAAGCGGGTGGCTCCAGGCTGGCCAAGGCAGGTGGCAGCAGGGGGGCGGAGGGGATCTCCTGATCGCCCTACTGGTCACCCCTGATCGCTGGCCAGGCCTAGGGACCGTACCCGTGTACAAATTTAGTGCACCGGGACTCTAGTTTAAACATAAAATCAATCCAGCAATTCCACTCCTAAGTATATACCCAAAGGAACTGGAAGCAGGTACTGAGACAAGTACATGTACATGCATGTATTTATAGGTGGCACAATAGCGAAAAGGTGGAAACAACTCAAACAGTCATCAATGAATGAATGGCTAAAGAAAATGTGATCTGAGCATTCAATGGAATTATTCCGGCATAAAAAGATAAAGTTCTGATACATGCTACAATACGAATGAACCTCAAAAAACATTATGCTAAGAAAAAAAGCCAGACACAAAAGATCCCATAATTCTATGATTCCATTTATGGGAAAAATCCAGAGTAGGTAAATCCACAGACAAAATGCAGAATGGTGGTTGCCAGGGGCTCAGGGAGTAGGAAATGGAATACAGCTGCTCAGAGGGCCCAAGGTTGCCTTTGGGGGGGTCATAAAAATATTTGCAAGGTAGAGTTCGTACGTGTACAGTCCTGCAAATGCACTAAATGCCACTACTCAGTTCAGAGTGGTTATTTTTATCTTACGTCATGTCAATAAAAAATTACTTAAGGTGATAAACTGCAGCTACCTAAATTGTGGACACCTCTCACACACCTCACAGAAACAGGTCTGTAAAGACCAGTTCCTCTGACTGTGGGTATCAGTGAGCAGCCAAGCCCAAAACCAAACAACCAATGTACTCATCAATTCAAACCAGTTCATAAAAAGTTTCAGAAATCGCCTCCTTTAAATTTGATAGATCATCCGCTTGCTTCAGTGAAGAGAAAATTAATCCTGCGAGATGAAATAATCTCCTTCCATTTATTATATTAATCTCCTACCATTTATAAACAATGAAAAACAAATCTTTGCAGCAGAGGTGGGAGAGCAGAGGAAAGGGAGAATGGACTGAGGGAGACATGGGGAGACATTCTGGAGATGGAAGACAGAAGAGCATATTATACTCTGATGAAAGCGAGAAAAGGGAACAGCTGAAGAGGCGGAGGGAAGGGGATAATTTCAGGGCAGAGTATCTGCGTGCAGAGGGAGGTGCTGGGTCGGGCTGATGGCTGTTTAATCGCAGCGTTTGCTTGCAGGGCACTTCCTGCAGACGTCTTATTTCGGGGCACATCATCACGGGAGAAACCTGCTGCCCACCACAGCTCGCGGGATGCCAGGGGCACCCTATCTACAACGTGTGTACTTTCCAGCCATGACAGACCACAGCACCTTCTGAACTCTCTGAAGCACGTGCCACACGGGCCTAAACGCAGCTGCCTTTCCATGCAAGAGAGAGAAATCCATCTCTACTGCCGATGGTCAATCCCCCAAGAGCACTGGGGCTTCCGTTTTGTTAAAAAATAGAGCAACAAACAGAACTTTGTAACATCTTAAAGGCAATTCACAGCTAAATCCCACAGCCTATCAATTTCTTGAGAATATTTGAAAAATTACTGCTGTTTAAAAAAACTGAGAGCAAACACTTTGTAAATTCTTAAGTTAACTTAATTCAAAGGCCCAAAGGAAGAATTCTAAATCCAATAGGAATATGCAGGAATTTTAACAAGTGAGCTTTAAATAAAAACACTAAGAAATCACAGAATAGAATGAAAATTAAACCAAGCCAGGCAGCATTTCAAACAGCTAACTTAGACTATCGCACGCTGTGCCTCAGTTTCCTTGCTGTAGAAAGAGATTATGACCTCAGTTCTCTACCCACCTCGCCACAGCACCATGCGTATTCACACGGAGGTAAGTGTGCCTCACTTTCTATAAAAACAGGCATTAAGAACTGTATATAAATAAATGTATAAATCATTTTAAATATAGCTGGAGATTTCTCACTTAAAGAAGTATCTGTAGAATTATGTTATACTTTCTTTACTAAAATGAATTTTAAGGACAGCTTTTTAAAAGCCAGATATTTACACTGGGATTTTCTTATTAAGTGACTTGGGCTTACCCATCAAGTATTTTAATTCTCTGGGTAAATATGCCATATATTAAAATTGTATGTTTTTTAAGCATGATGTTAAGATAATAACCCTCGCTCAAAGGCAAGTGTCGATGCTAATAGTTCAAGAACCAAAAACATTCAAAAAAACCTAGAAAAGCTTCCTGGCCTTCAATGTAAGAGGCTTGGTTCTCCTCTGATCCCACATCAGCAGCCACTGGCGATCAGAGCTAACCTGCCATTCTGGCACACTCCTTCTTCTTTGTCTAACACATTCAGCATCTGGCTCTCCTCCATGGAATGTAAGCGCCCTGAGGGCAGGGGCTTGGGGTCACCGTTAGGATCACACCCAACACAGACTGGGGGACTTAACCAATCAAAATGCCTGTCTCACAGCTCAGGAGGCGGGAGTGGGAGGAAGGTGTGGGCATGGTTGGTTCCTTCTGAGGCCTCTCTCCTTGGCTTATAGACAGCTGTTCTCTCCCTGGGTCCTCACACGGGCGTCCCTCTGTGTGTGTCTGTGTCCTGACGTCCTCTTCTTATAAGGACACCAGTCACACTGGATTAGGGCCACACACACGACCTCACTCTACCTTAATGAACCTTTTTAAAGGCTCTGTCTCCAAATACAGTCACATCTGAGATACTGGGGGTGAGGACTTCACCATGTGAATTGGGAGGAACACAGCTCAGCCACAGAGGTAAGGAAGGAAGTTGCTAAAACTTTTAAAATGATAATTCTTAGGTACCACTAATAAAGTTTCTCTGCATCGTTAGAGAACATTTGCTTTAATGAATGATTAATACTCAGTGTTTAGTTTTTAAACCTTTTCAAATACGTAAATAATTCCTGAGTCTTCTGGACGTACCTGTCAGCAGGGCTTCCTGTTCTACTCGGAGTTCCCGAAAAAGAAGAATCAAATCAACAGCAATGCCGATTGTATCCAAGTTCCTGGATCGTGATGTTAAAAGAGACAAAGTTAGACACGTTCCCAAGCCTACATTTCACATGATCCAAAAGCAGCGCTGAGCCTGCTGGGCACAGTGCCTATGGCCAGCAGAAAAAACAATGGTCTCCAAAGAAAGAGTTCAGAATGTACTGCTTTCTGTAATTGCTGAACCATCAGCCCCATTAGCTCCCCAAACCTGTGAATGTGACGTCACAGGGCAGAGGGACTTCCCAGCAGGAGTATATTAAGGACCCTGAGGTGGGAAGAGTGTCCTGGAGTATCAGGTGGGGCCAACTGAACCACAGGGTGCTTCTAAGGGGAAGAGAGAAGGTCAGGGTCAGGGAGGGAGGCCACGAGCCCAGAAATGCAGGCAGCCCCTCAAAGCTGGAAAACGTTCTCCTGAGCGGCCAGAAGGGCTCTCCGTGTCACCTCAGTCACCTCAGCAGCCACAGGAGAGATGGCATTCCCCAGGAAAGCGCTATGGCAGCCCCGCCTGGCTCATGTGAAGCCCTATGACATACATGTGAGGCCAAAGGATTTGAGAAGGTTACACCAGTAGAAACCCTGCCAGCTTGAACAAAATGCACAGAGGAAGGATGAAATGAAAGGTAGTCAGACTCCCCAAATTCTACAGGTAGAAAACAGGCTGATAAAACTACTCAGCTACAAACATGTGCTACCCTTGAAGAAAAAGGAAGGATGACTCTAAGGGCGGGTCATGGGCAGAGTCTCAGCCACGGAGGCTTAATGCCCAGCCTTGACACCTGAGTTTGCCCAACTGGATTTTGAAACTGCTTAGGGCCAGCGACTCCCCTTCCCTTCCATTCTCTCCACTTTAAAGGGCAATGGCTAACACTGTTATCCGATGCCTGTCCCACCACTGTATTTTGGAATAAAAAAACACATTTTCTAGTTTCATGTATCATGGGACATGGCCAGGCTCTTTCGTTCACCTATTATCTACGGCTGCCTTCACACTACCAGGGAGGGAGAAATGAGAAATTCTGACAGAGGTCACAGAGCCTAAAGTACTTATTATCTGGCCCTTTACAGAAGAAGTACAGCAACCTCTGCAACTGGGTGACATTTACATGCAGAGCTAACCACTTTCAACCGTGTTCTCTGAGCACTTCCTGAACTGTCATGATCGGGTGGTCTGCTCGGCCGTATTAGGCCCCGTTCCACACATCCTAGAGAAAGAGCAGCCACATTCACACAAAGTGCAGTGTTCATACAGATGATGTGAAAAGATCTAAGTCTCAGTAGCATCACACCTTCTGACTAACTCTTTAGTAACTTAAAGTAAAACACCAGGAAAATATATGTTGGTTGTGATCTGAATCTTGACAGGTTCAGAACTGGCTTCAGTTAAGGTTAGCCTTGAAGGCTTATAGAATCTTTGTTGTATTTCTGACTAGAAAATGTCTTATTCTGAGCTGATACCCTAAATAGTTGGAATTTCCCTTTAAAATCAACAGTAAATAAATATAAATCTAGAAGGTAAAAGGCAGGAAAACTAACGAAATTCTATCTTGGTGCCTTTATTTTGTGCAACTTACGGTCAGGCTGAAATGGAACCGAACATTCTGACCCAACTGTAAGTTGCAAGAAATAAAGACAACACGACCCCGGAGCATGGCCCGGCCAGGAGACCGCTGGTGTTTTATCTGCCACAGTATTTATTTGTGTAACGTTTGAATTTTTATAGTTTACATATATTACTTTTGTACTCAAGAAAGAAAATAAAGTGAATTGTTTTCCAAGAGGGTAACATAAGCGTTTATTGGCTGAGCGGTGTGCCCCGGGACCAGCAGGCACTTTACATGGATCTCATCCAAAACTCACCCTGTGGAAAGAGAGAAGCCGGTGCTCAGAAAGGCAAAGGCCCTTGTCCAGGGCCAAGGGCTGTGACAGGGACGACAGTCACACACAACAGGGTCAGTGTCTCGGGCTCGTTATGGCGGCTGCTCTGAGCTGAGCTCTAGGCTGGAGTCAGAAGAAACGTTCCTGGGCTCTTAGTGATGAGTGACTCGGACAAGTTCCTTAACCTCTGAGTCACAGTTCTTCCATTGTAAAATTGGGAAAACAGCAGCATACTACTTCTTTTTCTTTCTTTTTTTTTTTTTTTTTTTACATGTATGGAGCCATCGCACAGACAATCTGATAATCATAGACCCTGCTGGCAGGAACCATATGTTTTGATGTGTGTGACTGCAGCACACTATCTCTTGAATTTGTTCTCAGGATTACACAAGACACTGCAAGTCAAGCCCTTGAGTTACAAAACCTGGTGCTTAGGGCAGGCGCGCAGAATGCCCGCCTCCTTTCCTGAGAGGCTGGCCAAGCGTTAAGACAGCCCTGCCAGCCCACAGCCAGTTTCTGCTCTAACTCCCCCTCCCTTCCCCCATCGCACGAGAGAGCCTCCCCGCCTAGAAAGAGACAAAAGAAACCTGCCCCTGGCCCACTCTCCCAGCACACAACTAGTTATGTTTTTAAATGTTGACTATTATTATCAAGATTATAATTGTTTCTATCCATTTGTCTGCAAAAGGATGGCAGGTTTGGTTTAGAATTAAAGTTAAACAACCCTAGCTTTTTTCCCTCTCGCCTTTTATCTTAAAAATCCCATTAATCACAGCGAAGCCTCAGGTATCAGAACTGTCTAGGCAGCGCAGGGCATCCCCCTGTCCCCTCAAGTGGCTTCTGGACCAGCCCGACTGCACCCATCACCGCAGTGACAGGGAGGCCCGGAGGCTCGTCTACACTCAAGTCCAGGAAAGAAAGGTGAGCGTGCTCTTTGAGGCTTCTGACTTCATCTCAAGTAAAAATTTTTAATAAAAAGCAGATTCCATAAAATCAAAGAGGAAAGGTGTTCAGTTCTGGGAGGAGAGAACAACATGTCAAAGAACGCGCACAGCACCGAGCAGTTTTTGCTCAGCTTTCAGCCACGTTATAAAACAGGTGGAGCCCGGCTGGCGCGGCTCAGTGGTTGAGCGTTGACCTACGAACCAGGAGGTCACGGTTTGAGTCCTGGTCAGGGCACATGCCCAGGTTGTGGGCTCGATCCCCAGTAAGGGGCGTGCAGGAGGCAGCAGGTCAATGATTCTCTCTCATCATTGATGTGTCTATCTCTCTCCTTATCCCTTCATCTCTGAAATCAATAAAAGTATTTAAATAAATAAAACAGGTGGAAGTGGAGTCTTAAGACAGGTCATCTTAGACCTTTACAAAACCTGTTCCCTGTTCAAAGCAAACACAAGGGCCACTAATTTAAGCACTGAAACGAATGAAAGCACTTACAGCTAAGACCAGCGAGGCCCAGAGCTGCACGTGCATTAGGCAGAGTCTGGGATCAACGACTCAGAATTAAGTTCCCATCTGTGCTGTGTGGAAAACCAAGTGCCTCAAAACACATAAATGCAAGTGAGAAACCTAAAGAAGCCCCACGTAACCACACTCCGTGGCCGGTGACACCACTCTCTACCGGAGCCCTTCTCCCCCAGTAACACCAGTGCCCCACGGTCTCTCAGAGGCACACGTGAGGACAAGCACGCCACCTGATGGAGTTCTGGTTCACGGAGCACTCGATGCAGGCGTTGCGGAGGCACCGGAAGCATTCTGTTATGAGCTGCAGACTCGAGGCCAGGTGCTCCACGCGGGACGGGTCTCTGCAGGCCAGCTCGACGGTGCGAGCGGATCTCTTCAAGATATCCAGGACTCTTTGGAAGATAGTCCTGGGTGCAGTTTCCCTGAAAGAGGACAAAACTGTCACCAACCAGAAAACAATAACCTAATCTCCCAACGTCCTGTTCAGAACACAGCCTGTCCTTCTTTCTGGGAGGGCGGGGAGGTGAGCTGGGCCTGCCTGGGCCAGCTCCCTAGTTGACAACACAAAATAAAAGAGCTACACGCACTGAGCGCTATATGCCAGGCACTGTCCTTATCAACATTTTCATGTGTTATATCGTTTAATCTTTGCATTAAGCCAGCACTGTCCTCTCCATTTTAAAGATAACTGAAGGGGAGGGGCTTTGAGCAACTTGCCCAGGGCCTCGGGCAGTAACTGGCAGAGCGCAGTCCTAGCGGGGGCAGTGTGACCCTGTGCTCCACTCCCAGGACAGCCCACACCCAATTTCAGGGACTGTTCGTGCTCCTGGATCTGCCCTTAATCCAAGTGGAATCGCTCCATTTCATGTTCCAGATAGACAGCAGAGCCATGGCCTGTCACCCAATGCGCAGTAAAGTACAGTTACCAGAAACCAGTCATGAGGCCTGACTGCCTGGGAGGCAAATACACGATCCATCTCTAGATACAGAGAAGCTGGCCACACTGAGCGAGAGAGAGTGTGTGCCAGCGCGCACGTAGTCATTCAACTACGGGGGGGGGGGGACAGACCAAGAGCCTGTGCCTAGGGGAGAAGTGAGCTTGAGCTCTCCCCTCAGGCACCAGTTCCCACATGCCTCTCATGCCAGGAGCGGGCCTGCACTGACTCTCATTCCAAAGCTATGAAGGGAAGAATTTTTTGTACAACACGGCACCTAAATGCAAGCCAGCTTCCTCATTCCGGACTCCCCGGGAACCAGCCATCTAGCTCAGCGTTAGAAGGAGTACCGCCGTGGGGACAGTGTACGGATCTCGCAGATTCATTGACCATGTGTTTCCTCCTTTTGCCCTCATCCTGCAATCACAACCCCTACGTCACCCTTGGATTAAGCCAGATCGTCAGGGAGCTGCGCATGCATGCAGAACTAGGGACCATGAAACGCCTGCAGCTGCTGGGCTTGCTCAGTGCCGGGAAGACCTGCATGTCCCCTTTCCCGCCCAGGGGAGCTACTCCCACCTTGAGCTTCAGGGCCATGCGGGCTGGTACTCCAAGTGGTGTGTGTGCATCGCATGGGCAGCTCGTACAACCACACTGATGGTCTCAGCCTCTCCTTTAAGATGTCCACAGCATCCAGAGCTCGTCTTTAACACGGAGTCCAAGGCATGACTTCAAGTATTAACCTTATTTTTCCCCACGTGGCTTTCCCTTCTCTCCCTTATCTTTTACTTTATTCAATCGTTTTTATATTTTCAGGTGCTTCAAATTTGTTTTTGGAAAGAGGCAGAGTGTAAATTAATCAATTAAAAATTGAGGAATCAGGCATAAAATAAAATAATTTGCCCGCATCTCCCCAGTCAGCTGTCTCTAAGTGTGGAACGTGAAGTGAAGCTTTGACTCAGCATGGCAGTGACTGGTGATCAAATGACAAAGGAAAGCCCGAGGGCACACCGACCTGCCTCAGTACCGCAGGAAGCAGTTCAGTGGTAGCCATTGTCAGTGCCAATATGCCATGAAAGGCCTTCACTAACTCTCTCAAGAAAGCTTTAAGGAACACAAAATACAGTGCAGCAGACATTAATACGCTAAGAAAATACCCAAGAGTTAAAACCTTTCAAAGACTGCCAAGAGTGATCACGATCTCTACAACAAAGAATTTATTATTTAATCTTACATTCAAATAGAAGCAGAGCTCTGCAACTTGAATAATCTACAGTAAAGCCTCTTTTTTTCTAGTAAGATGGCTAAAATATGTGTATTACACCTGTGATAAAGAAGCTAATTATGTCTTCTTTCAACTGGTCCTTTGCAAGCTACCTCTGGCATGGGAGTCAACTTCCTACTGTGAAGGTCGTCCCTGATGTCACTCTGAAATCTTCACATTCGGTTTACTCAAAATTGGTATCTAGCACTGCAAAAGCTTGCAATCAAACTATGGTAGACTAAACACAATGGGAGAAAAGCATTTTCTTAGGAAAACTGGGCAACTGATGTTCCAGCAATAGAACAATTAATTCATGAACTGGCCTGTGATGATTCCCAATGTCACATGTTAATTTGTCATTTATGCACCATGCCTTTTTCTTTCATTCTTTCTTTTCTTTCTTCTCAATCCTCTCCCAGGGATATGTGTATTGATTTTAAAGAGAGAGGAAGGGAAAGAAACATCAATCGGTTGCCTCCAAAACACACCCTGACCAGGGGTCGAACCCACAACCTAGGTATGTGCCTTGACCGGGAAGGGAATCTAACCCGCAACCTTTTAGTGCATGGGGTGATGCTCCAACTAACTGAGCCACCTGGCCAGAGCCATGCCTTCTTTTTTATTTATTACACTTTCAATCAAAAGAAAAATGTTTAACTGAGCTAGTCAATCAACAGGTTCCTGAATCCAAGTAACTATGACCAGCCACTCAAGAGGAACCATGGCAGCGTCCATCGGCACACAGTAATTCACATCTGTGGGTCAGAGAGAGGGGGAACTAGGGTTGTGATCACTGTCCTTTCCTGTCTCCGGGTTGCACACCCATGAACTCCTGAACATGCCAAGCACCTGCAATCCTGTGTCTGCTCCACCAGAATGCCCTTCCCACACCTTCCCAGCCAGTTCTCTGCCTGCAAGTCTTCGGGTCTCCTTCATTCTCAGCCCTGGGGGAACTCCCCACTAGTCCAGTCCAAGTGAACCAGTTCCCACCTCCATGCTCCACTGGCACTCAGTCCAGAAGACTGCAGTAGCACCAACATCCATTATCTTCACTTCCAGTTACCTCCCCAGGTAGTCTATAACCAGCCCACCCCCGCCCCCAAAATAGACTATCTTTTTTTTAATCCCTAGGCCCAGAATTGGTATTCACTAATTGTTCTGTTCAATTCAAGTTTAAAGTAAGTGATGAGACCACGTATTTGCATGCTCAGCGTGACATCTGCTTGTGATCCAAGCCCCTGGGAAGCCAGGCCGGAGGCAGCAGTGGGATCAGTGCGCTGGAAAAGGGAACCACTGAGGCCTCGGCTCACCCCTTCCATTTCCATTAAGAAGCCACATATCCTGGCCCCAAAACATGAAAAATGTCATATGTTAAGAGGTAGATATCTTCTGATTTCAACTTAACAAACATCTAATTTCTCTTCCACACTATACAATAAATGGCTAAGTTTAATGGCCCTCTTCCACACTATACAATAAATGGTGAGGGAGAGGAGTTGTAACCCGATTAACTATATTTTAAATTTCTTGAGAGCAGAGACTATTTCTTAAGTGTCTGTATCCCTCTATAAAGGGGCTAGGGGAGACTCTTTCATCTAGACCAGTGGTTCTCAACCTTCCTAACACCGCGACCCTTTAATACAGTTCCTCATGTTGTGGTGACCCCCAATTTCATTGTTACAAATTGAACATAATTAAAGCATAGTGATTAATCACAAAAACAATATGTAATTATCTATGTGTTTTCCGATGGTCTTAGGCGACCCCTGTGAAAGGGTCGTTCAACCCCCAAAGGGGTCGCGACCCACAGGTTGAGAGCCACTGATATAGACCCATAGAATAAATAACTATGATTTTATTCACAATATTTTATACAGTATGACACATTAACAACTTCCACCAGATGAGGACAAAAAGCTTTTACTCTTCTATACTTCCTTACCTTCTAAATGGCCTTGAAAGAAAGCTTTTTTGGCATTACAGATCCAAAGTAGTTAAAATGTACTTGGTTTGCAAATTCCAAGTTCACTGTCAAGACAGCACAGCTAAATATGTGTAATGATTAACGACAGTGAAATAACTAGTAAAGATCAGTCAATCGCTCCTATATTACAAATGTTAATAACAAAAATTGCTGTCATTTCTGCTTTAACCAAACGAACACAAAATATTCACAAGGACTTTAAAAAGCTTAGCGACTTCATTCACAGAAGGCAGAAAGTGCTTAAGAGGACAATTAAATTCAACCGTTAGACATTCCTATTAGGGAGGAATGCATACCCTGAAGACAACATATAAATGAAATGTTACATTACACACAAAAAAGGCCAAAAAAAAAAGCCTTTGAATTATACAAAAGGTAGAATTTCATTTCCTTCAAGTTTGAACAGATCTGTAGGTGTAATCTCGGCAAGTCCTGTTTGAGCAAAATTAAAGAAAACTACCCATGATTACATGTTAACAGGTTAGAGAGGTCTAATAAACTATATGTATACACATTTTACAGTCAATTCATCAGGTGGAACCTCCTACTGAAAAGGGAACTAAATGCTAGTCATTGTAATGCTACACCTAAGACTCTCACACTTGCTAAAAGATTTATTCTAATACCTTAGATTTAATTAAAAACTGGCACATGCGGTTTAGAGTAGTTTAACCACTGTCACTAAGAAAAACTATTAAATACATACAAGTTCAGAGATTAAAATAACAATCACTGGTTGTTATTAAAACCATAAGCCCTGCCTCCTGATGTGACTGGGCTGACGGAGCAAAAACAGAAAACAAAGCATTTCTATCTCCTGCCAAAAGCAGCCGAGGCAACATTGTGAAATTCATCTTTGCAGACCTCACAGCTCCTCTTTGACAGTCTTTTCCCACTTCTGTCACATCCGGGACTCCCCAGCTGTCCCTGACAGCCCCGACCACTCCCCTGCTGGGGGGGGGGGGGGGCAACTTTGTCTGGAAAGGGTCAGGGACACACGTTAGGCTGTGACGGGCTGACAAGCTCTGTCACAACCTCTAAGCTCTGCTGCTGTAACACAAAGGCAGTCTCAGGCAACACCTAACTGGCTGTGTCCTAATAAAACTAGTTTTATGGACACAGATACTTAAAGTTCATATAATTTTCACATGTCCTGAAATTTTATTTATTTTCCCCAACCATTTAAAAATGTAAAAATCATTCTTAAATCAAAGTCCATAGATCTAAACTGAATTGAGA